GTACAAAGTTAAACTGTCCGAAAACTCCCCAAAGGGCGCTCTTGTGATTAAGTTAAATGCGACAGACCCAGACGAGGGCTCAAATGGGGATGTTTTTTACTCCTTCAGCAGCTACACACCAGAAAGAGTGAGACATATGTTTTCCATGGACACAGAAACGGGGGAAATTCGGGTGAAAAACAATATTGACTACGAGGAGACCAACTCATATGAAATGTACATACAAGCAATGGACAAGGGGTCAGCTCCTGTTGCAGTTCACTGTAAAGTAGTCGTAGAAGTTTTGGACGTCAATGACAACATTCCTGAGATTGTGCTGTCTTCGCTCTCCAGCCCCGTGCGAGAAGATGCCAGAGCAGACACAGTTGTAGCATTGATCAGTGTGAATGACAGAGACTCTGGACCTAACAAACAAGTTACACTGGAGATCATGCCCCATTTGCCTTTTAGGATCAAATCTTTCCGTAACCACTACACCATTGTCACATCCGCTTTTCTGGACCGGGAAACTATCTTGTCCTACAATGTCACTGTCAACGCTGTGGATGGAGGCACCCCACCTCTGTCATCCCAAATGACCTTTAAAGTGGATGTTGCAGACGTGAATGACAACCCACCTCGTTTTGAACAAACATCATATACTGTTTACATAACAGAGAACAATGCTCCCGGTGCACCTCTGTGTGTTGTTAAGGCCACGGACGCCGATGTTGCAGAAAATGCACGCATCACCTATACTGTCCTGAATGACAACAACCACGGTATCCCTGTAGCCAGCTACGTCAGCATCAAACCTGATAAAGGTCAGGCCTATGCCCTGCGAGCCTTTGACTTTGAGAAGCTGAGAGAGTTTCACTTTCAGGTCAAAGCCCAGGACAATGGTGTGCCTCCCCTCAGCCGTGTGGCCACAGTGTATGTTTACATCATGGACCAGAATGACCACGTACCCAGGATAGTTTACCCACCCGCTAATGGGAGCCGCACCACAGAGACACTCATGAAAAATGCTGAAGCGGGAGTGCTGGTTAGCAAGGTGACGGCGTGGGATGGCGATGCAGGCCAGAATGCCTGGCTGCTCTTTGCCCTGGAGCAGACGAACGCAGACCTCAACCTGTTCAAGGTGCATGAGTACACGGGGGAGATCCGTACCACCAGGCGCGTCATCGAGGACAACTCCACCTCCTTCCTCCTTTCAGTGGTGGTACACGATAACGGCTTGCCACCACTCTCCTCCACGGCCACCATCCATGTGCATGTGATGGAGCTGCCGCCCAAGTTGACCCCTGATCCCAAGCGCATCATCAGGCCCAACAGTCCACTCATGTTTTCCAATGTTACACTATACCTCATCATTGCACTGTGTGCCACAACATTCGTGTTCCTAGTCACTATCTTTGTTCTGGCCATTGTACGTTGCCATGCCTACTGCACCCAGCCGGGCTCCTGCTCTCCGTGTTGTGTATCCAAGAAGAGTGCTCCAGAGGGGGGCACCTCAGCTGCCAGCGGTGCGGGTGGAGGAAGAGCTGCGCCTGTAGGAGGCGGAGGTGCAGGGCAGTCAAATGAAAATGTAGCTTTGCGCCGTGACCTCAAAGTGGAACCACATTATATTGAAGTGCGGGGAAATGGGTCTTTGACTAAAACATACTGCTACAAGACATGCCTAACTGCCACATCAGGAAGTGACACTTTCATGTTCTACAACACGGGACGTCCGCACAGCGGCACCTGGGGCTCGGGGTACGTCACCAGCCACAGCGGACAGAGCCAGTTGTTTGTACGGCGTCTCAGTATGCCAGATGCCACTGCCATTCAGGTGTGTGTCTGGTGTTATGTCTGTGTTTGTTATTTTCCAAAATTTCTTGAGGGATCAATAAAGTATCTATCTATCTATCTTTAGATGTCCTCATAACATATTCCCGACAAAGCGATAAGCAGTGAAGGGAAATTTCTCAGTTATTGTGCAGGTCTTGCTCTCAGGCGTTGTTCTTGTAGCCAGATTGCAGTTGACATTTACGGCTCTGAAGGCTGTTAAATACTTTTTTTTTTTTTCATTGCTTTTTTGAACGGATGGTATTTCTTATAAAAAGTAGCATATTTATATTTATTGCGTCCGTCTCTTGCATGGAAGACGTCTCTGGGAAAAAATGTTGTTCATGTAAATGATTCCATCATTATATTTAGTGGTCTTCATGTTACTTGCATCTATCTTGAGGTTTACATCTGAGAAACCTGGCATACACAAATGTGCGTTGTTTTCTCTGGACTGTGAGCTGAGTGAACTTTGATTTGCTGAATCTGGTAGATGGTATATTCTTGTGTGTTCAACGCTTGCAGAAGAACAGTTGTTTTGGTGATTCAGAGTATGAGATATTCAAGTGCACCTGTTCTTCACAGTACTGCCAAATGCTGTTATCAAAATGTTTTTCATGAACCATTTCTCCCACTCTCTCCCTTTTTTTAGTAACACAGTGCTATCTGTCTTTTGAAAACAAAACAAAAGCTTTCCCCATGTTCACCCATGACCCCACACAGCCAGTCTTATTTGTCTACTGAGAGCGGTATGCAACAATAATCAAGTCCAGTGGGTCCGGAGAGCATTCGTTGAGGAGAGAAAGACTCTAGGAAATAGTGCAGTCTTTGCCAGCCACTAGTCTCACTGCACCAAAATATCCTCTGCTTGTCACGTACCTCTCTGGTACTGAGCAGTAAGCTGGAGTCTCAGGGATCTTTACAGAAAGCAGGAATAAGGCAGATAGTATGCCTGTTTCCTTCAATTTTAGCTTGATTTTCTGCTATTTTCCCATTATGAAAGATGAATATGCACAGGGATATTTGCACATGCTTCGGTAATACAAACAATATTATTAGGATAACATTTCTAATATCTGTTTTTATTCCGGGCTGTGTTTTTCTGAGTTTGTTTATGCAATTCAGAAATTAATATTTGAGTAAAATAAAATAAAATGTTTAGGGAAATTGCTCTATTACCATGTAAGTCTTCCTCATTATATTCCGGTCATGTTTGTTCTTGCTATGTAATTAACTGGCAATGATGTGTTTCCCAGTACTGTGCGTGGATTGGCTCGCTCTGTGCAGTCGAGGCGGGGGATGAGACGTGATTGGACACCGTGTTGATGGCGGAGGTGTGAGCTCTGTATCCATGCTAGGAGTGTTCACCGTGAGAGGGAGAGGGCAGAATGGAGAAAAGGGCGTTAAAAGGGCTGTGTGGTCAAATAAAAGCGTTCCATATTCTCTGATTTGCAAACAGGCACGTAAGTGAATGCCCTAAAAACTGATTTTGTTCTAATTCCACTTAATTTTACTTCTCCCTTTCAAATGACGATTCCTCCATATAAGTCATAGTGGTTTTGTCTGTCTGACATTTGTTACGGGAACTGGTAACATCTTGGTGTTACACGTATGTCTTACCTTTAGAGTATATCCAAATGCGGACATGTTTAGGTTCCAGATGCTTGTATCCAACGTGTGTGTATGTGCTACTTTATGTGTATAATTCACTCCCGTAAACACCATACGGCAAAACAGACCTCTCCCTTTGGCTATACGAACGTTTAACAAAACCGCTTAGTCCCATTTGCGGACAATCTGGTTTAATTTTTTTTCATCTGCCTTTCCTTTTGTCCTGTGCAGGTAAACTAGGAAAGAGAACAAGCTTTTTTTACTGTATTTTTAATGCCATACTACCACCTTTTGTCTTTCAGTATCACTCAAAACCATCACTGTCGTCACTGGTTGTTTTTTGAAGTGGGATTATTATTAGTTTTCAGTACTGAGAAGAATCTCCCATGCCACGGTCCTCGGTTTCCTTGAAGTCATTCTGGTCTCTGTGAAAGACTGCAGGAGAAATACCAGGCTTCTCTCATTAGGACCAGATATTGGATTTCCAGGTTGATGAATGTCCACTGCAGACTCATAGCGGCCAAGGCAGCTTCAACAGCAAGTGAACATCTGTCATATTTGAAGGAAATGGAACTGCAGATGCGTCTCTTATGAACAGCATCGGCAAGCAAGGATAATGTAGTGTTCTCGGTCAGATTGGTTTAGCTCTGCTTGGTTTATGTTGTTAGAGAAAATGCAATCTCATTTCATTTATGTGGTGAACTCCACATTTAGCTTCACCTTGAGCCGCATAACTACTGAAATGTAGTCATTTGAACATATATTGTCAGTACTTTCAATGTAGTATCTTTATATATTTGTGAGAATATAATGTATATGAATGAACTGAAGTCTATTAGGATGCTTCAAATGAATTGCATCACTGGCAGACAGGCAGAGGTTATGGTGGTGTAGGGTCCCTTTGTGTCTATTCCGTTGTGGTTGACTGTAGATGCACGGCCGAGGGGAGGTAATCTGATATCTTCCCTTGCCTCTCCCTCCTCCACATGTGACCTTCACAGGAGTGAAATGACAGGGAGCGGTGGGTAAAATCTTGACTGAGCTCTGCACGTTACCATACAGAGATGTGTCAGATTGGCCCAGGAAGCCTGTGTTCCATTAACACTCAAGGTTTTGATCAGTGTTAAGACAATACAACAGGAAGAAAGACATTAGCTGCAGCTTTGAAATTAGTGAGTCTTCAACACTTACAAGAGTATTATGAACGCTCTGCAATGTTCCCATTGTAATTGAGTGCACCACAACCATCTAGGAGAGAGTGGACTAACCAGACCTCTAGCTTCAGGGCTACAGTGAAAACCTTGCATAGTCATAATTTTCCCAAAACATGGCTGATAGAATGAATGGGAGAGACAAGTGTGTGAAGATGGATGGAGGGAGTGCACCAATAAGCTTAAATTCATCATTCATTTCTCTCCAGGGACAGCGGCAAGTGTGTGTGTGCGCCTTTTTTGAAGGTTTCTGTGTTTATTTGCTTACGTGACAGGAATGCATGAGCATTTCTCTCCATGACTTATTAATGAGAGAGTCTTGGCTTTCACCTGTACTTAAGACTCAATATCTCTCACTCTTTTTTGCAGCCTAAAGGGCCGAGTGGTGACTGGAGATATTCAGCCTCCCTGAGAGCAGGAGGTGTAATGCAGAGGTAAGCATCCATCCATTACCTTCTATTTACCATCGTACCTCACCAGTCAAACTTGATTGCATTTTATGAAAGACCACGAGATGTTCACACTTTACTTCCACCTAATAACATTATCCCATCCAATAACCATTTTCTAACTGTGATCTTGAGCACCAACAAATTCTTAATTAAAACTGATTGGTGTACCTCTTTGAACAAAGTTTGATGTATCCACCTATTAGTCATTTAACATACCCTGATGAGGTCCACAGAAATTGCGAATGGAACTAAACTATGAATTTAAGATATAAAATCATATGGAAAAAATTAAATGCAATTATATATTCGAGTGCAATGTAATGCAAAATAATTCTTCTGTCAGTTTGGTGGAAGAAGCCTTGTCATCCTTATGAGGAGACATGAGTTAATATTATCATCATATGTTTAAATGTCTTGGTAACTCCATCTTTCTCTCCACTAAAGTCAGATGAGCCAAACAGGTCTATTGATTGGCCTATATTCTAGTAAAAAATGTCAGAGATTAAGGGGAAAGAGGTTGTGCTTAAAATCAGGCTTTTCCAAAACAGAATAATCAGCATCTTTTTTCACCCAATCGTATTCATTATCATCAATGTGTATGCACATTTTATTAGGTAAATGGTGAGACAATCTCAGTTCTCTCAATGTTATTAAAACACATCTTCTTTTAATAGACATTAATTATTTATTATATTATAATCATTAAAAACAATAGCATGTTAACTATGAGAGAAGGGCCACAGGAAGGAGAAATTCACACGTAACTGGTTTTCCTAACCACAGAGAGATCGATAACTGAAGGGAAAGAAGGTTAAGCAGATAGGGGGTCAGTGATGGATGAAAGGCAGGTAGTCAAGTGAAAAGATGCCAGGTGAGGGATTTCTGCATGACCAAACAAGTGATCACCTTAGACACCGGGCACCTGCTGTGGGATCAGATGGGCCCGACCAAGTCTACGGCCATGCTAATGAAATGGCATCGTAATTACAAAATGATATCACTCTCAATGAGTTTGCCATGATATCTTTACCTGTCATTATTATATTCTACTAATCAAGCTTTCCTATCTCTATGTCAGAGAAAATGTTAATATTCCTTTGTATCATACTGTATGCACATACGTCTTTCACAGCTACAGTATATTATTATTATTATATTGCAGCTCACTGACGTGATTCTCTTAAGGCCCTTATATGGATACTACAGATGCACATACTGTGCAGTATATTTCTATTAATGTTTGCACTCAGATGCAAATGTCCCAAAATAACTGCCATCTGAGTGATTCTGTGTAACATTATTACACAGAATCCCGCATAATTACGGCAGGGATTAATGAGCATTTATGTGCTTATTTGAACCAGCCTAACAAATTAAATCCTTGTGATTTTCTATACCTCTGATGCGTTTTAATTTGTCTATCCCCCATTTTGGACATCACACCCAAACACCACGTAATGGCACTGACCTATTTAATTTAATATCTGATGAAATGCACAGCGTTACCTAAGTGTGTTGTTTAGGGGGTTGTCTCTATTCATTTTGTGATCCCCTCCAAAGAATTGACATTGTGATAAGTATTGACGTAAATTATGAAAGAAGGATGTGTTTACAGACAGCAGGAGAAAATGAGAGATTATACGAGAGAAAAGGACATAAGGTGTAAAGTGTATCATCAGGCCAGTGCTTCTCATTAATATTTGATCTTAAATTGATTGAAGGCTTGATCTTTGCAGAATTTAAAATGACAAAGGGGGATTAAGGTGGACTAGTACGATACATATTACATAGATGGTGCTCCCAAATCACCAACATTTGATACTATGGTTAATACTGTATTTAAGGCGTGGTTCAGCTCCTGACTCGGCAACTTTAAGGTCACACATGTATGTTGAATAAAATCTAACCTCAAAGCTACAAAATATAATCCCTTTCTTTCTGAAGGTTTATTGCAAATGAGAGCGACAGAGCTCTGGTTTGTAACAGCATCTCTATTGTCTTGGTATTGTTCAGCCCTACACAGACTGTGGTGTTTCTCAGTAGTGGGGAGAGTGCTGAAATCCCACAGACCATGTGTGAAAATGTAAGAGCGGCCATCTGTAATCCCTAATCCAGAGAATATCAGAAAAATGTTGGGTGAATACTTTAATCCTAATCTGAACGTTGCATTTTCCAAACTCCACACACAGACTACTAAGAATTTGATTTGTAGTATATAGGACACTTATGCAGATTGGGAAATTAAATATGTGAGCTTGTGTGTCACAGAAATCAATCATTACTGTAGAGCTTTACAAAGTATTAAATTATCGGTATTGATTCCTTCTTTTGTACAATTTAATTTAGCATGATTTAGTATATGATATGTAAAAGAATGCCTTTCCAGTGTGTAAAACGTACATGTTCTTTTTGTGTGTGTTTCAGCTCAGTGCACATGGAAGAGTCCTCAGTAATGCAAGGAGCCCAAGGTGTCCTAGTTCAGAACTGGCCCACTGCATCCAGCGCCGCCGGTAAGAATCCCTCATGCTGCTCTAACCTACACCAATCACAACTACTCTGTCTGATAGAAAAATACAAAAATGAGTATGTGTAGGCACACATGTGGTCCTAAAGGTCTCAAATAGTAGTATTGTCTATTATCTAGTTTAATTGTATATATTACAAACAGCTAAGCCTATCTTATACCAAAAGCTGGACATTTCCAGAGAGTTTATCAAATCAGTAATGAAGAATACAGGTATATGTGCTATGTGATCACCTCGACCTACTCCTACCCCTTCCACCTCTGCAGGGAGAGGAAATGACACATGCTTCAAAGGCGTAGATGCATATCTTTGCTCTCCGTTTCAGGAAGGGAGACAATTCAGACAAAAAGAGGGCGAGTAAGAGCCAATAGTGATTTTAATCCTCAGTAAAATGTTTACAGTGCCATACGCCTCTGTACCACAGAGGACAAACCAATTAGATCAAATATTATAACATTTCTTCTCTTTCTAAGACAGAGAATAGAGGGCAGTGATGTTAGTAACTGATCACAATATGTTTTTTTATATTTTAATATGTCTCTAAGCTTTCATCATATGGACATTTCAAATAATGCGTGCATTTGTTTTTCCTTAAATTAAACAAACACATGAATGCTTTCTTGATAGATTGTATAGAATAAACATTATGGAATATAATTCATATTTGAAAGAATTTTAGTCTTTAGGCATTGCAGTTGCCAGACAGCAGATTACATTGCTAATAATAGTCAGATTCAGAGTTTGGTGGTAGTAACTGTGGACATGATGAGTTTCCACTTACCTCATAATGATTGGTGTATTATCCTCTATACTTTATTAACTAAACACAGCAGGAGAGCATGCAGCAGAAGTCATTGGATTTGTTGAAGACAAAAAGACTTTCCTCTTCATCATGGTGGAAAAGAACTCTCCAAGGCTCAAACAAACCACTGCAAAGCTTATTAGAAAACAGTGAGAGCTAAATCAAAAGAACAGAATATATTCGCGGACCAGTCTAGAAGGTCCGGCGGAATAACGGGAGGGGGGCAGTAAGAGGACAATTGTAAACGTGAAGAAAAACGCCTGTTGACACGTAGGGAATATGTCAGAGGGACGAGCGCATATAATTTGTAGAAAAGCCGGTGAATTTTCAAAATAAAACATTTTTCAGAAAAAAAAAAAATATATTCTTTCTGTGGTGTGGCCCGGTACCAAATGGCCCACGGACCGGTAGCGGTCTGCGGCCCGGTGGTTGGGGACCACTGCTCTAGATGACAGCACACTCGATGCTATATGACATTTCACGGACATTTTGTGATGGGATTGTCACTGTATACGATGCCATATAGTTTCTTTCACTAACAAAGATTCATAACCAAAGATTCACTGCATGCAGGATAACTCTTAAAGCTCATCGTGATGACAGGGAGATGGTCTGAAAAATATTAAGAGTGTAGCAGAAAAGGAGTGGCCTGGTAATGAAACAATGACGGAAGAGAAAAACCGGAAAGAGTGTGTGATTAAGTTTCGATTAAGAAGTGATTTGGTGGAAGTGAGAAAATGGAGATTGCCTGGCCTGGTGTCTTCTGAAGAGGTGGAAAAGCTGCCCACACAGTAGCTACTGTCTCTTCCTTTCTACACGCTCACATACAGCCTCCTCCGCTCTGCCATTGATTTGTTGCTGTGGTTGAGGACTTACAGCCTGCAGGCTCTTCAAAACACACGGGATGGAGAGAGAAAACAGAACAGGCTTTAGTGACGTCTTTGGGTGGGTCAGTGGTAATAAGATCAACTGGTGAGAATTTAAGGTGGTCTAATTGAGCTGTGACAGTTCAAGAGCAACGCATTTTGCACTCACTAATCTTTTCCTAAGGGCTTGCTGTGCCGTCTTTATCTCATCATTAGCTATGTTAAAAATCAAAATATTAGCTGAGGGCTATGTGGCTTTAGGTCAAATTCTAAGGTTGGATTAAGAATAACTCTGGGTTAAAAGTGTTGGATAAATTGAAAAGCATACATTGCTAAAGCTCCCTGACCGGAAGACACGATTAGCAAAGATTTGTGTGTGGACTTTCAAGATTGGGTTGATTGTGTCTCGGAAGTGAGAGAAATGAAGATATTGATTCAATGTGGCCCGTCACATCACTATGAGTCACAGTCTGGGCTATTTATAACAAAGTCATCTTGCTTGCGACTTGGACCGAGGTCTTTAGGTGGTAAACAGGAGGAAATGGAAGCCTGGATTGTCGAGAGAATTGTTTCAGTCTGAGTGCTGTACAAATAGGGTGGTGTTCTACCTCACAGTCTATTTTTTGCCTGGATGTGAGACACAGAGCCACGTCTGACAACGCCTGTTTCGTCTACTTAGATCCAGAGCGAGTGTCTGTGTCGTTTGCATCTTGTTCAGTGTACATGTGTGCTTGCTTTTGCTGTGTTTGGCTGCTTGCTTTGTGTGCGGCTACTGCTGTGACAGATGGAGCGTAGCCCACGCCCAGATTAACGGAAACACATTAACGGGATCAGGGTTCTGCTTGCTGTCTAACTCTCTCTCCCCATCTCTTTCTCTCACTCCCTCCGTGTCTTCCTCCTCACAGCTAACCAAAGGGACATACACTAACTATTCAGAGAGAACTGTTCTGCATTGCAATAGTGATCGAAATAGAAACAGGAGAATAAACAAATAAAGATAAGTGGAGAGACAGGATGAACATAAACAGTTTGGGAGGGAGTGAATGAACAGGAAAGATGGAAAGCAGTGTGAGGCTGCTGTTGCTAGGGCAGGGTGGTTACACTAAACACATTGAGGAAGGAGGAAGAGAGAGAGAGAGAGAGAGAGAGAGAGAGAGCTTGCAGCATTATTCTCCATCAGCACAAGCGCTGTCGCCATGACTCCAATGTCCTACTGCTTCACCGGAGGACGTAGTTTCCAAGGCAACCATTCATGGCCCTTATATTAGCAGAAGAGTGGAGGGAAGGAGGGGCGTTTACATAGAGGGCAAACATAAGGTGTGGGACAAAAGGTGCCAATGGAGAGGGGGGCGGGAGGGTGTTAAGAAAAAAATAGACTGGCATCTGGTGAAGAACAAGAAAAGGGGAGGTTGAAATGCACATACATGAGCAAAAGCTAAAACAGAGCGAGATAGAGGAAAACAAAATTAAAGGAGAGAAGGATGTGTTTGGAAAGTGAGGGTTGGCGGTAAGAGTTGTAAAGGGAATGAGACAGCAGAGGAGTGAATAGCAGAAAAAGAGTGACCTACATTCTGTTGGGCGGTGGTGTGGTGCAGAGGTGGATCCGGGTTTACTGTTTTCTGCATCACCCAAGCACGCAAGCACAATCAGATATATACATAGAGAATGACTAATTTGATGCCATTTAATAGTAATCAACTGCAGTAAGCAAGGGTAGTGGCAAAATGCAAAGAGAAAAAGGTGGAGGCAAAGACAAACTACTGAGCATGTAATGTAATTGTCATCAGGAAGGGTGTTTGCAGGTATGTGTTGCTTTGTTTCTGTAGTGGAGACAATTACACAAGAACTTAGGCAAATAAGAGATGGAAGATAATTTCCCATTGGTTCCATTCTAGGCTTGATATCTTACTTTTTGATATGGGTTTTTTAGTTCAGTTCAGTCTATTTGAACATGTTTCACACATTCCGAAACGCAAAGTAAAACAGTCTAGTAGGAACTGTACACACCTTTTAAAATGTGGCTGCCCCATCTGTTTCCATTTTTCGACTTCAGTTGAATGTTTTCTGTTCCTATCCTTGTCTCTCAGAGTCTTTATACACCTTGCCAGCTCTCTCCATCCCCTTTTCTCTAGAGAATAAATCAATTCATTGTTTTTCTTTTTTACATAACACCATCGCATATTGGCATACAATAGACACACACAGATAACAACTCAAACTCCCACACACACAACTTCATTGAGTGTTACTTGTATTGTGTTAAACCCTGTCACTTGGATTGCCTGTGTCCACCATCTGCCATATGATCCAGCTGGGACTAGACAGCAAGGTGCTCAACCGAGCATGAAACCCAAAGAGACACACACACACATACCCAATTAGACACCGTGATATACATACACTGAGGAATAATTGCTCTTAAAAGCCCCGGACCATCATTATTGAAATATTACCACGTTTTCTTTCTACATTTCATTTACTTGAGGAATATGTGGTAATTCATGCAGACACAAAATGTCTTATTCTATCACCATCCAGCCATTGAAGCAGTAAACGCACAGGCACATGAATAGTTATTGTTTTTTGAATAGACCACAACATCACATTGGTTTTATTCCAATGGGTACACACTGTTAAGCACTCCAAACACAGTGTCTATTTTGAGGTCGGGGTGTGGTCCCAACTAACAACTTTGTTATCACATATTTTTCACCACTGCAGTATGGGAGAGAAATATTGCACTTTCAGAGTTTTTAAATCCTTTTTACCCTCCTCCCAACCTTCCGCTTTTGTGTTGTGCATCATGTTTCATATCTGCATCTCTTCACTCCCTTGCTCCTCTTCCTTCTCAGCTAGTTATGTAACGCTGCACTCCACTGCGCTTCTTCCCAACTGGATGAGGTGCGACGAGGCAATGGGATGAATAGAGTAGAGGTGGCAAAATTAGGCTTTGGGAATTTAATTGGCTGTGAAAACTCTGGGCGGCAAGATGGGAGTGATTGGACATCCACACTCAGGGTTTTCAGGGTTGAAGACTCCAGAGATCCAAATAAGGGAAAGAAGCTAAATAATTGATTGTAGTCACCTGTGCCGATTTCAAATACAAGCAGTTTTAAATTGTTGCTGTTAAATGGATAAAGTAATAAACCCGTGGGCAAATAAGAAAACAAATAAGCCATCCCCCTCTCTGATGTGCCTGGTAGTTGTTGTTGATGGACAAGCTGTTTAGTAACCAATCACACTAATATTTCCCATAACACTGATGGCATGATTAAGTCTAGTCAATAGCTGAGAGAGCCGGGTGTTGGCTGGCTGAGTTATCGCACAAGATTAGTTTTAAAGGTCAGGCGAAATGGAGGATGGCATGGAAGAGAGAAGGCGGGAAGCTGTGCGAGGGGAACAGAGAGGAGGGAGGAAGTTTTGCTCTGCAGCAGCCATGGACAAATCAGATTGTTGCAATGGCTGTATGAAGACGAGTGTTGGGCGAGGTGAATCTGTTACCATTGTGAAGGAGTGAGAAAGATAAACCGTTTTAGAAGATAGTTTAACAGGCTTGGATATGGAGGGAATTATCTCATATTTGCAATGAGCATTGCGATTACACATGTTTTAAGAAACATTTGTTTAAAAAAGGAACATAAGGAAACTCCCAAAACATGAAAGGTTGTTATAACATGACTTTCATAGACACAGTGTGTATTTGTATTTTTTTTTAAATCTAGCATAAGAAATGTACCCTTTCAAGAGAGTTGCATGGCGTTACCCTCTTCATTCGGTCTGCACTCAGCATCCCTCATAACTCTCCAGGGTTTTGCTTTGTTTGGGGATTTAATGTTCCATAAGGGCATTGGTGTCTGCAAGTGCCCTCATTGTAATGGACCAGTCGTTCCTTTGGGACTAGAGAGTGCACACTGTAGAACAGAGCATCACCAGCTGCCCGGTATTCTGCATTTTAATTAGTGTATGTTTTCAGTGGGTCAACAAAGGTTCTGAGTTTGCTTATCATTTGGTTATAGTAACCATGGAAATGTATACACCTTCTCATACTTGCTCATTAGTGACAGGTTCACTTTCCACATAAAGCGTGTACTGTAAATTAAGCAATCTTTTATAAATCCATCACAGTATCTCTTAAGCTTGGAATCATCAAGACTAACACAACCTGTACTTTAGATGATGAATTGTCCTTCTTAACTGGGGCGATTCATGAATAAGGTGTGAAAGGGTTTTTAGTAAATGGTCCCTTGTGTGACATGATAATAGCCACAATAACAACCCTTCACCCGTCTCTTTCAGATGCTGAAGGAGGAGAGGTGTCCCCCCCAATGGGTGCTGGAGTAGACAGCAACAGCTGGCACTTTCGCTATGGTCCCGGCGGTCCTGGTGCACCACCCCAACACCTGAAACCTGGCGATGTTCCCCCAGAAGCCTTCATCATCCCGGGCTCACCCGCCATAATATCCATCAGACAGAACCAGGGAGGAGAGGACGACAAGAGCGATTTCATCACCTTTGGAAAGAAGGAGGAGGCCAAGAAGAAGAAGAAGAAGAAGAAGGAGAAGAAAGACAAGAAGGATAAGGGGAAGGATGACGGAGATGAGTAGAGGATTTGAAAGAAGAAACAGCAAAGAAAAGGGCGTTGTTAAAACAGAGGTACCAACCAAAGTCCACTGGGCAAGAAGAAAATGTGAAAGCTATTTCATTTTATTACCTTTTTTCACTGATAATATTTTGAAAATACTGGCCTCACCAAGATTTATTTCAACTTCAGTCTCTTACTTAGGTAAATTATTGATCTTGACTTGATAAATATTAAAATAATTTTAATCGCCCCTTTGTGCCTAACCACCCTTAGTCAACTCATGTTAGTCATGGTTGCCAGTAATAGACAAACACTCTTTGCCCCAGTCTTGAATACTTTTTCCTCTAACCCACTGGGCACGTTGGCACCTCTGTTTTACCCCCTGCCCAACTGATGTGTAAACCGTTCTCTCTGAAGAGAAGACAACAAAAAGCGCTGTGCCAGCCGAGGAAAAGAAGAACGACGACAAAGAAGATTGAGACGGATGCATGCCATCTGCCGCTGGACACGTACCACTTGTAAATAGCACAGGAGTCACTGAAACTAAGGCTTACATGACACTGCTGCAGATTCCTCCGATAATTACCAACAGTGTTTCCTAAGATCTCAATTGAAATCACACATACGCATGCTCACACATTCAAACATGCAAAGACAAATACACATATTTGCCATGACTTAATAGACACAGAGCGCACTTGAGAAATAGGGAGAAGATCAACTGACATCAAAGAAATGTGCTCAAAACAAGACACTGCAAGCTTTGTCCTGCACCGTCACCTATGTGGTGCGCATGTGTACATCAGCTCCCTCAGGGTGGAAGCAGCATCCTTTGCAACCACTCTGTATTTGCTCACTGCATTTGAAGGACACGGAGCGTCGTCTCCTGCCAGAATCCCAGCTGAGGAATGCAGAGAGCACTGGAAAGATGGAGGGATGGGAGGATGCCTCATGTTCGCCTGAGTCCCGCAAACGTAACATGTGACTCCGCTTTCAGTCAGTGGACTCTGATGAAAACCTTACAGAATATAAGGAGAGCCTTGAGATTTTGATAACACCTTCTCTTCTCCCCCTGCCGCAGCAAAAGGCTAATGCTTTCTGCTTTGAATGTTTGGTAGCAACCAGTCCTTACCTGATTCCTTGAGTTTACTACTGCTCACTTGCTTGCATTTGCCCCAAGCTGCCACGAGCCGCCCTCTCCTCCCCCAACTGCCTCTTCGTGTGATGATAATGTTTCACAACTGGTTCTGTTGTTCATTCATTCTCTAAAGAGATTCCCTGTTACATGTTTCTGCATTTTTGTTTTTCCTTCCAGCTTTAGCTGCTTTTTGAGTGTTCTGCATACCCCCCTTTTCCCCTCAGAAAACTGCGCCTGAGCCCTACTCTGACCCCCCTGCTCAGGATCGACCCTGGGAATGGCCTGCTCTGAACATTGTGGTGTGCTGAGAACAGCATGGAGTAATGTGGATGAGGCCTGGATAAGCCCAGTCGGGGGTCTACGCCGTGAACTCTTATCAGATGTCTCTCAAAGTGCATAACGGTTCAGTGCTTTTAACTTGCGTACACTAATTTCCTTTGTGTAGCCACTGTTGAGGTGGGACCGGGTGGGAGGAAGCAGATTACAACAGTGGAGGCCTGGGATAAAGCGAGGAGAAAGGTGCCGTGGGCTGGCCCTCCATCTCCTTGTACAAGAGAGGGGTTCTCCAAATTGATTGTTTGGAATCGTGGAGTCACATATTAGCTTCTATCTACGCTGTAAATGTAGCATAGCCGTCTTCTTAGATTGTCTCTGCATTAGTAAATGAAACCTGCTTAACATCCGAGCATCTAGGGATTCCCATCCCACAGAAATATCCCACCAATCCTCTCACAGAACGTTTTGAAGAAGGGGCACACTCAGGCCTGCTTCTGTTGGTTCCCCTCCCCTGCCTGTAACTTGTTGCCACGTCCCCAAAGTTTTGCGGCTCGGTATGACGTCACTCCATTATGTGGCTGCTGCATGTACTGCTCTAAGGAAACACATACTATATAGAGAAATATATATATAAATAGATAGATGGCTATGATTTTATTATTTTGTATCATTGTTTTTCTTCATTACTCGCACAGAAGATATTTGTATGTACTTCTGTCTCTGCCCAACATCTATGTACTACAATCATCATGCTCCACAGATGTTGTATGGCATCCACGAAACCTCTTTGTAAATGCTTTAGTGTGATACCTCTCACCGCAAGTTAATCATTTTTATTTTACCACTATAATTTTTCTTTTTGAAAACAAACAAAGCAAGAAAAAAAATCTCTCCTTGTCCAGCTTTGACATGACGATCTTACTAACACTGTAATATTGTAACTGAAATATGTATGATCCTATGATGAGCTATCACTTCCCTTTCACTATTAAAATAATGAAAATGACTGAAAAAATATCCCATTGTATAAAAAGATATATGTAGTGTATGCTTGTGTTTAGTGAGCGTTCATGCTGTCATTCTTTCCCAATGTATGGTGGTGAACTATGGTGGCAATGTGCTGTCCTAAAAGGACCAGCCCAGATCTGTTGTGAAACCCTTTTTGTAGACCCGCTCATCAACTGTGACAGTGAAGTAGTGAATTTCATTTCTTCTTTTATTTTTGTTTTTTATTTTACCTGGATGGATACAGTGGTAATGTGTTTTGTTTATAAATCACTAATAAAGTTTTCTTTCTTAAAATAAATGCAAAGGTATTATCTTGATGGCATTTGTGTGTGTGTGTGTATGCGTGTGTGTGCCTTCACTCTTTCTCTTTCTGTCATTTGAACAGATTTATTGAAATGCATTTAATTCGCTGCTGCCAAAGAGTAGAAATACTGGTATTATTATAGGTATTGGTATTGAATTTAGATATTTTAGATGCGTTTTATTCAAATACACAGTTAATCTTTAATCGGAGACTGTGTTATAAATCAGAAGCTTATAAATTAAAATATAGCCTAGCCTAATGGAAATCTTAATAATCAGTATTACAGTTTGGCTTCTTTTACAGTTTAGGTTTTTTTTTTTTATCTCTTGAGAGATTTGAAAAAGGTTAACGCAACACCCCAACAAATTAATCCATAAGCGAAAGAAAAGAGCACATCTCTTCACCTCAGTGCGGGCAGGGCTGACATGCTGTACAGGCTGCTCTCATCTATCGTACATCCTCACATCTCATTTCTTTATTCGTCCTGTCGAGCCCTCAGAGGAGGACGCATGCATAATGACCTGACCAGGGCAGATGCCTCATTCCTCATTATTGAAAACCATGGTCACAGATGGTCCAAAGAGTCCCTTGTGGGCAAAAAAGCCTTTTTTAATGTTTTAGAGTGGCTAAGTAGATTTTTTGTATCCCAGTGGGTAGGTTTGTGGAAAGAAAATCCCAATAGAGAGATATCATTTGTTCTGGCCGGGATGAAATGCAGCATAATCAATCATTTTGTCGAGTCATCTACTCAGACAGCCTGCTCAATAGTTCCTAACTATCATTTCATTCTCAAACAGGGGACAAACTAAAATGTGACTATAGCTATTTAGGTAGAAGTCTCTATGGCAACAGCCTCATATGTTTAGCAAACAGACGGGCTGAAACGGTGGGTTGTTCAAGATGGGATCAATGTGACTGTGTGTGTGTGTTTGTGTGTGTGTGTGTGTACGTCTGGTCTTTCATAGAACACTGACAGCACAGAGGACACTGGCTGCCGTGATGATGATGCAATACCCCAAACAGTGTCTGTGACTCCTCTATTACATGTTACTAAGAAACAACACCTTTAGCATAAACCACTAAAACCCACAAATTCAAAATACATATTGAGCATTCACACAATGTCCTCTCTCCCTGGATATTTGTTCATTTCAGTAACACAAACAAATAATAAACAAGGAAATTGGCTCAGTGCAGTAAATTAGGCCTGCGGTGTTTGGTCTGCAGACCAGTTAATCTCTAGCTAATAAATATGAATATATATATATTATGGCAGAATGAACAGAGCCATGCAAGCAGATCGGTGAAGCACTGTGCTCACTCTTTTCCTAACGTTCTGTGGAGACAACTAACACCCGGTTTAATCACAACATAAACATACATTGTATTGTACAGTGCATGAGTCGATCCTAATGTGGACTGAATGAACATCCACGAAACCAAGTGTTAAGATTTGCAGCGGCTGAATTGTGCGTGTGTTTGTCTTACTGGGTGTGTTGGCTGGTGATGTTGCCAACTGCAGTGACTCAGCATAACTATCGTCCTGCTGAGGAAAGCAAATGGAGTTATTTAGAAACAAGGAAGATGGAGATATTCAGGGTGCAGAATAAAGGTGGCCTACGGCTATAACTGCACTACACAACGCAATGTAGAGACGCCGTTTCTGTGTGTGTTTGTGTGTGCGTGTGTGAAAGAGGGAGTTATTGAAAAAGGGTAAGTTGAGAGTTAGGAAAATTTGCTGCAGCCAGTCTTGATGAATGCAAATAATCTTGATTGGTCTATGTGTAGGTAAAATTCAAATGAAAGGTAAGTAGAAATAATTACAAATATATAGTATTGTTTATTATAGTAACTGTTCTTATTTCAATTTGAACAGTTATTATCTATCCCTAATATAAAACCTAAACTAAAAGTGTTAATGGTGGGAGGAAGACACCATTTTATAAGGCTCACCTTGTATCATAATTGTCTGTTAAACTGCATGTACCACGATGCACCACGTGTGGGAGTTATCCCTTTGCGGCGAGTGAGTCATTTTCAGTGAGCTTAATATATGTTAGATATTTGTGGGTTTACAATGTCTGATTACAGGAAACTGTTAATACTGAGGTTCGTGTTACAGATTAATGTGAGTAATTACCACGTGATAGTAGCGCTTTCAATCTGCTGCACCTGTTTTCTTTGCAGGAGTAATAAGCAAAAGGCGCCATCTCCTGGAAAAAGCATCAAAGCACATTTGGCCACTTTTTATCTTCTTTTTTTAAACGTTTTTTATACTTGTATTATTAATTTGTGTGACTGACAAACCTTCTCATTTTTAGTTCATATCTGCATTCAAATTGCTAAAAGTTATTGCAGACCACAGATTACTTTTTACACTGTAATCATTCATAAAATAACAGTTGTTATTAACTTACAGTTGTGGATGAAAAACGAATCACTGTTCCTTACATCATGCTAATAATGGTATCCTCACAATCTCAATAGAACATTTCTTGACAAGCCATTTTCTACAACTCAGAAGCTTATCCCATCAAACCATATTGTAACCCATTAAATAACAAACTTGGTTCTTTTGGTGCATAAAGGGACTGAATCCTCTTTTTTTTGTTACTGTATCATATTCGAGAAACCGGCCTGGTTGACCTGCAACTTGCCAGACAAAACAGTCACTCTAGTACAAGACCCCTCCAAAATACTTTACAAAGAACTTGGTCATTGCCCTGGCATCCAGTATTATATACCTGGCAAGGCAGGTATAAGGGCAGCCCATTATTAGGACCCATGGGCAGAGCCTATCATAGTGGGTGGAACCTCACTGGTGCGTTTTTTTCCTGGTGATTAACACACCTGAGCAGCTGAGGCCATCATAGTTGGGGGATTGATTTGGTAAGCTCGGCTTCATTTTTACCGGTTTAAAAGCATGAATTTAATGCTGAATCTGTTTAATAAATCACACTAAACTAATACATTTTATTCATCAGTCTTCTTTGGTGAGGGACAACTCAAAGTACCTACATGTTGCACATAGGGTAAGGGACCGTTATAGTCCAGACAGTTGAACTCCTTGAATGCATGTATTGTGAAATGTTCTGTGAAAGTTTATTTTAAATATCAATTTGTTTTTTAAACTGACATTACAGACCCCACTGTTTTTCCATCATATGTTCGTATTTTTATTAAGTCAATTGCATTGGCCTCCTATGTTTTGATTTTCCTCTGGGACTTTCTGTTTTGCTGAAGAGGTAGATTCAGTGATTTGGCAGCCATCTGGCGTGTGCTTACGGTTTCAAGTTCTTAGTTTCCTGTGATATGATTTTGTTAGAAGCGGTACTTTTCTATATTTTGATTTATTTACTTTGTTTTACATCTTTACACTGAACTCTCGGATGGTGCAGTGGCACTCCCACATGGTTTATTTTCCTTTATTTATTTTGTTTGAGCGGTTTACTTAATCTGATTATTGTGATTGACTCGGATGCCTTTTTATTGAGACTGGCTTGTGGAGTTGATTAATTCATACAGTTCATTCAATAAACACACTTTCGGTGTAGTCTCTGGCTCCAGTTTATTCTGGCTCTTGTGTGTATAGATTACATCATGATTAATACGAATTTATTTAGTATTTAGTAAATTATTACTTATTTAAATGTATGATTCATTCATTCATGCATACATACGGATTTAGTTAAGCTTCTTAAACGCATATATAAATAGCCATAATGCAATACATGAATAATTCCTGTTACTTGTTATATAGATTTTGTGAGACGTCATCTAAACTAAGGTCTGTTAAAGCAGTTACATTGAAAGGCAAACCGTGCCTCAAATTCTCAAGTTATCTTTTAAACCGAAAAGGCAAATAGACTAAACACAATGTAAGAACGATATCAATATCAACTGCAAGAAGCCTGCAATGTACTCGTAGCAATAATGTCCCTTGATTAAGAGCATTAAAAAAAATTGTCCCTTCAGGGTTTTTGGACCTTTTACTAGTACTATTTACTTAATAAAACTTAGGAAAGTTTTTGCACTTAGAAAGTGAAGTAAATTCTACAAGGACGATCATCAAGTAAAACTTACTTGCAGGATATAATTTACTTTTACTAGCAAACCTCAAGTAATTTACTGATTATTATTATTAATATGGACATTGAATTTTACTCCTTCTTTGTAAGTTTTACTCAAGACTCTGACTGCTTCAAACTTAAAAATCTCACCTAAAAATCAATGGTTTTTCAAGGTTATTTTAAATACATTTTTTGACTTTTATTTATAGACTATATGTAAGTAACATTTACAAAACATTTTTCTGCAGTTTAGATTGCCTAAATTTGTTCTCAATGTTTTTGTGTATTGAAACAATTACACATGACACAAAAAAAAATTCCAAAAGGTTTGCAAACAAAGACAGCACTCACATCTGTGACCCTTAGACAATGGCCCCACAACCAGTTGAGAACCTCCTTCCTTCCTTCACCCGGAGACAGCATGCATTAATACAGTGCAACAATATAAATAACAATTACAACCAGAACATAGACAACTGGCCACATAAACAAATGTGCCGTTTTTTTTCTTTTAGTGCCCCCTTTGAAAAAACAACTCTTGGGGCAAACATGTGCACTCAAGATAAGCTTGTTTCGCAGGGACAGGATCTTCGGGGACAGCTTAAGGACATCAAGCTCTAGCACAGGGGTGCCCAACCTTTTTTGAACCAAGATCTACTTTTAAAGTTGATAGTGTATCGAGACCTACCAAGCCATATCGAAAGCCGTAGCGTAGCCACAATTTATTGCGCACCTATATAGGACACTGTTTTCTGACACATAGATACAGTTTTAACAATCATAATACATTTATTGAAGTAAATGTGAATGTGCAAAGAATAAGCACAAGTAGGCCAGCATCTCAGTCCAGCCTCGTTGAAAATCATCATTGAGGGAGAAGTTGTGATGGACAACATTCAAGATCTGCCAAAAAGCAATGTGCATTCTGTT